TCCGGATACTTCTTCCGGATCTCGTCCTCTCTCTCCCAAGTCGCCTCGTCCTCGCCATGGCGGCTCCACTGGACTTTGACGAGCGACACCTCTCGATTCCTCAACTGATGAACGGCTAGCGGGACCTCCTCATAAGACAGATCCTCTCCAACCTGAAGCCCGTCGAAGTCTACTACATGCTCGGGGTCGTACACATATCTCCTCAACATAGAGACGTGGAACACGTTGTGCACTCCCGCGAACTCTGGTGGAAGAGCCAATCGATAGGCTAAGTCTCCGACTCGGTTGAGTATCTCGAAGGGTCCTACATAACGAGGCTGCAACTTCCCTCTCTTCCCGAAACGGACTACACCTTTCGTTGGTGAGACCTTCAAGAAGACCTTGTCGCCAACTTCAAACTGTTGTTCCCTCCTCTTCTTCCTGGCATAGAATCTCTGTCGTTCTTGGGCTGCCCTGATTCTCACTCGGATCTCATCTACCTGAGCTGCTGTCTTCTTAATAATCTCTGGCCCAAGTACCTTCCTCTCGCCAACCTCATCCCAATACAAGGGTACACGACACTTCCTTCCGTACAAAGCCTCATACGGTGACATGCCGATCGATGCCTGATAACTGTTGTTGTAGGCAAACTCGACTAATGCCAATGAATCCTCCCATGAACCTCCTCGATCCAGAATGCACGCCCTCAGAAGGTCCTCTAATGTCCGGATCGTGCGCTCTGACTGCCCGTCTGTCTGAGGGTGATAGGTTGTACTGAATTTCAACCCTGTCCCCATAGCCTGATGCAAGCTCCTCCAAAACTGCGAGGTGAACCGTGTGTTTCGGTCGGAAACGATCGAAACGGGTACCCCATGGAGTCGGACAATCTCATCTATGTAGAGTTTGGCGAACTTCTCCATAGACATCTTCATATGCACGGGCAGAAAATGGGCACATTTGGTCAAAGTATCAACCACAACCCAAATGGCATCATGCCCCTCTCGAGTCCTCGGCAAACCCACCACGAAATCCATCGTGATGTCCTCCCACTTCCACATAGGGATCTCAAGCGACTTAGTCAAGCCGGCTGGCTTCTGATGCTCGGCTTTGACCCTTTGACACATTAAACATCTGTCCACGTACTTCGCCACATCTCTCTTCAATCCTCTCCACCAGAAATACCTCTTAAGGTCCTGGTACATCTTTGTACTGCCTGGATGGACGGTATACGGGGCATTGTGTGCCTCCTCGAGAATCCCCCTCCGAATCTCTAACATCTTCGGAACACATAATCTCTGCTCGAAGACCAATGCTCCGTCAGGTATCTCTGCGAATCTTCCTATCTTGCTGGCTCGAGATAACTCTCGCATCTGACAAAGGAAACGATCACTCGGCTGAGCGGCTACTATCTTCTCTCGTAGAGTCGGTCCCACAACCAGTGCTGCTATAGTACCACTGGCTCCAGAAGTCGGCTCCACCTCCTCTAACTCTAGCCGCTCGAACTCTCTGACCAACTCCTCCTTCTGGGTGAGAATACAGGCCAACTCGCCACGGCCCTTCCGACTAAGGGCATCTGCGACCACATTAGCTTTCCCAGGATGGTAGCTAATCGTGCAATCGTAGTCTTTGACGAGCTCTAGCCACCTTCTCTGTCTCATATTCAACTCCTTCTGTGTGAAGAGATACTTCAGACTCTTGTGGTCCGTGAAAATCTCGCACTTCCCTCCGTAAAGGTAATACCTCCAAATCTTCAACGCGTGAACCACAGCCGCTAACTCTAGGTCGTGGGTAGGATAGTTCAGTTCATGAGGCTTCAACTGCCTCGAAGCATAAGCCACAACCTTCCCCTGCTGCATTAACACACAACCCAAGCCCATCTTCGAAGCGTCGCTGTAGATAGTGAACTCCAAAGTCGGGTCGGGTATGGTCAATACAGGTTCCGTAGTGAGCCTCGTCTTCAACTCTTGGAAGCTCGCCTCACACTGGGGACTCCACAAAAATCTGGTTGACTTCTTCGTCAGCTGGGTCAATGGTTGGGCTATTTTCGAGAAGCCCTCTATGAAGCGACGATAATAGCCAGCTAGTCCCAAGAAACTGCGAATATCACTCGCATTCCTCGGAACCTCCCAGTTACTCACGACCTCAATCTTACTCGGATCGACCTCTATCACCTTAGCGGTGACAATGTGTCCGAGAAAGGCAACTCGGTCCAACCAGAACTCGCACTTCGAAAACTTGGCATACAGCCGCTCTCGACGAAGTGTCTCTAGAACTGTACGCAGATGCTGCTCGTGCTGCTCCTCGTCTCGAGAATATATTAGAATGTCATCAATAAAGACAATGACAAACCGATCAAGGTAGGGGTGGAACACTCGATTCATGAGGTCCATGAAGACGGCTGGGGCATTGCTCAATCCGAAGGGCATGACCACAAACTCGTAATGGCCATATCGAGTTCGAAAAGCGGTCTTAGAAACATCAGACTCCTTAATCTTTAGCTGATGGTAACCAGACCTCAAATCTATCTTCGAGAAAACACTGCCACCCCTCAACTGATCAAACAGGTCCTCGATCCTGGGCAACGGATACTTGTTCTTCACAGTGAGTCTGTTGAGCTCTCGGTAGTCGATGCACATCCTCATCGACCCATCCTTCTTCTTCACAAAAAGGACTGGTGCTCCCCATGGTGAAACACTCGGTCGCACAAAACCGAGCTTCAACAGCTCCTGAATCTGTGTCTTCAGCTCCTGCAGCTCCTTCGGAGCCATACGGTAAGGTGCCTTTGACACAAGGCCTGCTCCAGGAACCAAGTCAATCGAGAACTCGACCTGTCTGTCTGGTGGTCCTCCTGGTAGCTCGTCCGGAAACACCTCCAGATACTCGCGCACAATAGGAACTCTATCCGGAGTCAACTTCTGGGTCTCGCTCACAACAATGCTCACTAGATAACCCTGGCTACCCTCCTTTTTAAGGCTCTTCATAGCTCTTAAGGTAGAGATAACCCTCGGAACTGTCCTCGATCTCGCCCCATAGAAAATGATGGTTTCGCCTCCTCCAAGATGAAGTGTCACCTCTCGGTCGAGGCAACGAATGTCTGCTCGGTATCTGCTCAGCCAATCCATCCCAAGTATCACGTTGAAGTCACGCATCTCGATCACGTAAGCATCGACGGTCAAGGTTCTCCTGCCTATACTAAGACTCAGACCCTTAACGAGAGAATCAATAACTATTGACTTTCCCGAGGCCAAGCTAACCTCGAGAGCATCAACAACACTAACTCCCTTAATCCCGACTGCCTCAACACAACTCTTGGAGATAAAAGAGTGGGTTGCCCCGGTATCGCATAAAGCAAACACAGGCACATCACATATATGAAGCATTCCAGACATAGTACCTTGGTTCGCATCTGCCTCACGCTGGTTCAGGGCAAACACACGGGCTCTCCCTCCTCCTCCCTGGATCTGGGCATGCTGCTGAAACTGCTGCTGAGGTTGTTGTTGGGGCTGCTGCTGCCCCTGGCCTCTCTCCGGGCAATCAAAGGCCATGTGTCCCTCCTTCCTGCAGTAGTAGCAAATCCTCTGACCAGCTAAGCACTGACCCCCGTGAGTCCGGCCGCAGTTGCCACAGGGTGGCCGAGCTCTCGGAGTCTGCTGTGCTGGCTGACCGTCACCTCGTCCACCATTTCCTCCCTTCTTGTTCTGCTGGTTCTTCTTCTTGCCTTCAAACTTTCTCTTACCGCCACTACCTGACGGCTGGGCAGGAGACTGCTGATAAACGGCTGGCTGCACCTGGACTTGCTGAAACGAGGGTGGCTGCACAGAAACTGGCTGAATCATCCTGGGTTGAGGCACTGTCTGCTGAGCTGCGTCCAGCTCTAGACGCTGACTAGCCGCTATCTGCTGAGCTCTCAGAATGGTCTCTGCATAGGTCAGGGTCCCATGGCTACTCAGCACGAAGCGAAGGTCCTTCTGCAGCCTGTTCAGAAAACGACGGGACTTCTTAAAGTCAGTGTCCACCATGTGCGGGGCAAAGTGGCTGAGTCTGGAAAATTCACGCTCATACTCCTCTACGGATAGGTTTCCTTGCTTCAGGGCATAGAACTGCCCCTCCATCTGCTCCCGAAAATAATAAGGATAGTACCTCTCGGAAATGAGGAGCTTCATCTGCTCCCAGGTCATAGCATTTCTCTCGGCTGTAGTCTTAAGGCGCCAAACATCTGACCACCATCTACCCGCATCCCCTATCATCTGGAAGTGGGCACAGGCAATCTTCTCCTGGTCTGAGTAGTTAAGGACCTCAAAGATCCTCTCGAGGTTCATGAACCAGTCATCAACTGCTTGTGGCCCGTCTGCCCCGGTGAAAGTCGGTGGGGACAGACCACGAAACTGACCCAAGATATGAACATTGTTCTGCCCCTGAACAGGAGGGGGTTGCTGGAAGACAGGGGGATGCTGATGAGGTGGGGGCTGCTGAAAGATCGGTGGCTGCTACTGATTAAGAGGGTCTGGCTGCTGGTCGCCACCCCTACCTCCTCGGCCTGCTCGTCCCCCTCGTCCGGCTCTACCTCTGCCTCTTCCTCTGGTTGCCATAAGCTGGCAGAAATAAAGGAAACTTGAATTTAACGAAGGAGATCTAACTGGAGTTATAAGAATTGAGAGGAGAATGTTCTAGGCCCCAAATCTAACTTATAATTATGCAAGTCACAGAAATGCACAACTTAGACATCTCAAATACTTTAACTACTCAACTTACCTCGAAGCTGGAGCGGCACGGCGGAGGCGGGTGGTCATAAATGTACTCAAACTGGAGGATTATGAAATTTTTTCTAACTTTGAAAACTTTGCAAGTCTACAGAACCATAGACCCGCTCTGATACCACACTGTAACGCCCACTTCTAATTTAAAGAAAATAGTAATATTTTCAAGAAAATTTAAAACTTTTCAAACATCTGATAATCCTTTTTATTGGGTCGTCACTCATAAAATTCTTTCTTTTCTGAAAACTCTAACTCTCAAATTGACTGGAGACACGCAATAACTCAAAAATGCATTAAGTCTCAAAATACTAAATTTCATAATCCTCAAATCAAACATGCAATCATATTAAAAATCCAATGTCTCGACATGGGAAATGTAATACTGAACATAACTGCAATGTCTGAAATAAATAACTAAATAAAAATAAACTGATGACCACACTGCCCTGCCTCCAGTGCCGCCAATCCAGCTGCTTAACCTGAAAGGTTGGTGTGGGGGTGAGCGTAATAATAATCAACAGGCTCACCTGGAGTCTATATAATACGGACATTCGAATTAAACAAAAGATACCGTTGTAAGCAGATATAATACACAAATAATGGTTTCGAAAAGAGTTCTAGCAACCAAAGCAGTACTAAGGTGCAACTGAAAAATTCTAGCAACCATCGGAGTACTGCCCCTCAGGTGCACTGGTTGTCTACTTAGCCCTTCGGAGTACTGCTCCTTGGGGGACTAGCTAGCATGCGACATATCTGATCTGGGAACAACTACAAAAATAGTTGTGCATACCGTACGTGATCAATCGTCCAGTATATAACTGAAAAACTGGAAACACATAATTCATGCAAATAACAGCAAACAAAAATATCACAGTGTTTAATCAAAATGATGTACTAGATAGACTTCCCCACCTGGATACTCCGGATCTGCTACTGAGATGAGTTGTCGCTTATGTGGAAACTCGAGGGCTCGACTCCTCGGAATCTACATGAATTAAGCGATACTCGGATAAATAACTAATTCTGATTTTGTAAATTAATTTTACCAGTTGAAGGATTTTCTAGCTTAAGGTTCATGACTTGTAGACTTTATGCTCTTTCTTAGATGTTGGAACTCTCGACTCGGAATCTTTTAAAAATTCTCAAAATTAATTCTTTAAAAATCTATAATTAGCCTCGACTCAAAATCATCTTAAATCTCGAGACATTTTAAAAAAAGGCTTTTGAAACTATTAAAATTTGGTTCGGGCTTGACACGGGCTCGGGCACAGTTCTGGTACAGGACGGGGGAGAGTGTCGAGTGGGTGATGGTTGGGCTGCGGGAGGATACCTAGGCACGGACGAGTTGTTGACAACACGGGGCCGCACAGGCTACTGACACGCGGGCCATGCGGCACGCGATGTACACGGCAAGCGTACGTCCCGCCTGTGTACGGGCGCGCCTGCGAGCTCACGGCAGCAGTTCTGGCAGCACCCGGCCGTTGTGGCCCGGCACCGAACTTCGGCTTATCCCAACAACTACCTCGACCTTTACGACACCTCTTACGACCAATACAAAAAAACTTATTAGGAGTTCACCATCCGGTTTTAAACCATGATACAAACGGTTTGATTTTTAATTTAAATAAACACATTTGCAAATATTACTACACTAAATGAACTCCTTTTAATCTCTAATGAAGGCATATAAAACTCTTTATTATCAGGCCTTAAGAAAAGAACATAACAGAGATTTAATATACAGAAAACTCATAAAACTCAAAGCCTGCTCAAATCTCCATTCGAAATTAAAAGACTAAAATGGCAAAAAGGGTTTAAACTTTTGTTTAAGCTCACTTTAAGGCAATTTAAAATAAAATGTCTCCAGCAGCTAACATATAATAACAGGATCAAAATTTAACACCTATAGCTCAACCTCTCCTAAAATGTTTCCAAATAAATAAAGGAATTCAAATGGCAAAAAGGTTGGATTTTGCTTAATCTCATTTACAGCAAAATAAATAAAACTGTTTCTGCTGCTAACAATTAAGTTCATGACTTACAGAATTTAACTGACAAGAGACCGAGAGCTCCACATCAATCCCTACTACTTCAAAATTCATGAATCTTCTACTTTACAAAATTCTCTTTTCATGAATTTAACTCATTCACATCTTACGAAACCTTAAACATGAAATATCCTTAAACTTTAAATCTGAAATAAAAGAGAGGGGTATAATCTTATACCTCCTTCGGGAATGAAACGGAAACGAAAAACTGAAAATGAAGAGTCTCGGACGTCGGGTTTCGGTCTCGGTTCTTACGACGGCTATCCGCTATGCTGATCGAACGAATGGGGGTGCTCGAACGGGATTGCTGCAGTTACGCACAAAAGCGGGGACTGCTTTGGCTGCTCGACCGCTGAACGAAGGCCGACGGGGTGCCGCTGCTATTCGGGCCGCTGAACGGAGGCCGACGGGGTCTCACGTCAAAGGGGCGAGATTAGGTTTACTCCTTGCTGGTCACTTTGCCGGCGGAGGTTAAAGACTGCAATCTGATTATATGGCAGAGGCGATGATGAAGAGAAATCTCTTCTTCTCGATTGAATATGGCGAACAAAAAGAAAATATGCTAAGGATTTTTATCTGCTCGATGATGCTTGCAGTTTCTGAACTGGTGCAAGATAGAAGGTAATATAACGGCTGAAAGAGTAAAAATCTGGAGTGGTTGAAAGAATAATTCAAACCCCCATTAATATGGAAGATTAAGTGTGCGTAACGGCTGGGATAAAAACTGATCTTAAGGCTAAAATATCTGCCAAATTAATCCCCTAAAAAAATCAAAGGTTACTAGAATAAAATGAGACGGCTTGAAAATCAAAATGGCGGAAAATAATAAGGCTAATATTCGGATCGCATAATTCTAAGGAGTCGAGAAAATAAATCAACGATACTGAAAACAACTAAAAAAATAGGCTATCTCTGGACTGGAAAATTCTAATATTCGGTTAAACTCTGGAATAATTTAATTAGCCGAAAAGGTCTAAATAAATTATTTATCTCAAATGATTAAATAGACACTCACGTCTAATTAATCAAATTTATAGGTCGAGCTGAGAAAATAAAATGCAATAAAAATGCATAATGTTTATAATAATTCGAGATGTCTACTGAAATAAAATCGGGGCGTTACAGATGTACTAAAATTCAGTAACTTTGTTAACCAATTGAATAATATTAGTTGATTAAATGTTGAATTTAGTCTTTTTAAAATAAATAGAATAACTGAACATCCCGAGTTATATGAAAAATATTACCAATTTTATTATAGATTTCATTATTTATATTCTTTTATGAAAAATAATACTATTTTCTCATCTATATTTTTGAATGTATCAATAGGTTGCACTTTATACAATATTATATTTACTTTATAACACAACATGTTGCACCTTGTTAAACAACACGCTACACCTATCAAACTTACAATCAAAATTATAGTAATTATGCTAATCGATGGACTAATATGAGTTGGTTAAATGTCAGATTTTTTTTTAAAATAAATAAAATAATCGAATTTGCCGAATTATATGATAAATATTACCGATTTATTTATTTCTTTGTTTTTTTTATAAAATTTAATAATATTTTCCTATATGTACGTTTTATGTATACTGATTGCACATTATGATTATACGAATTGCACTTAAATAAATATATACCGGATTGCAAAAAAAATTGAACAAGATTCAACAAACAAAAAATTCCTATTAACATAAATAAAAACGTCGCCTTCACTTTTCTTTCAAAATATAAAAGTCGTTTCAAGTTTACAGCGCAGGCAATTTTCGTTCATGGTTTCCTATGCTATGACAATCGATAAGAGTCAAGAGAAGTACATGTCGCACATCAGCTTACCACTGAAGAGCCCTGTATTTAGCCATGAACAATTGTACGTGGCGCTTTCTAGAGTTACGAGCCGAAATGGTTTGAAGATAATAATTTGTGGTGATGGAGATTCTGACGATTAAGAAACCACGAATGTTGCACATAAAGAAGTATTTAAAAATATTAATATTTTTTAAAACGTTTTTTCAATGATTATGTTATTATTTTTACTATTGTTTATAT